GCACTTGACGATTACTTGGCAGGTACTTGGCGGGTAATTTCCAGGCACTTCGCGGGCACTAAACGGGTACTTCCGAGCACTGGGCACTTGGCGGGCACTTAGCAGGTACTTGCCGGGTACTTGGCGGGTACTTACCGGGCACTTGACACGTACTTGGCAGGTACTTGCCAGGTACTTGCCGGGCACCTTTCGGGTACTTGGCAGGCACTTGACGGGTACTTGGCGGAAACTTGGCGGGCACTTGGCGGGCACTTAGCGGGTACTTGCCGGGCACTTGGCGGGTACTTGCCGGGTACTTGGCGAAAACTTGGCGGGCACTTGGCGTGTACCTGCCGGGTACTTACCGGGCACTTGACGGGTACTTGGCGGGCACTTAACGATTACTTGGCAGGTACTTGGCGGGTAATTGCCAGGCACTTCGCGGGCCCTAAACGGGTACTTCCAAGCACTGAGCACTTGGCGGGCACTTAGCAGGTACTTGCCGGGTACTTGGCGGGTACTTACCGGGCACTTGACGGGTACTTACCGGATACTTGCCGGGTCCTTGCCGGGCACTTGGCGGGTACTTGGCAGGCACTTGACGGGTACTTGGCGGAAACTTGGCGGGCACTTGGCGGGTACTTGCCGGGCACTTGGCGAGTACTGGGCATGCACTTGACGGGTACTTGGCGGAAACTTGGCGGGCACTTGGCGGGTACCTGCCGGGCACTTGGCGGGCACTTAGCGGGTACTTGCCGGGCGTTTGGCGGGTACTTGCCTGGCACTTAGCGGGTACTTGCCGGGCACTTGGCGGGTACTTGGCAGGCACTTGGCGAGTACTTACCAGGCACTTACTGGGCACTTCCGGGCACTGAGCACTTGGCGGGTACTTGGCAAGCAAGTGACAGGCACTTGGCGGGCACTTGGTGGGTACTTACCAGGCACTTGGCGGGCACTTGGCAGGTACTTGCCGGGCACTTGGCGGGTACTTGCCGGGCACTTGCTGGGCACTTCCGAGCACTGTGCACTTGGCGGGTACTTGCCGGGCACTTGGCGGGTACTTACCGGGCACTTGACGGGTACTTGGCAGGCACTTGACGATTACTTGGCAGGTACTTGGCGGGTAATTACCAGGCACTTCGCGGGCACTAAACGGGTACTTCCGAGCACTGGGCACTTGGCGGGCACTTAGCAGGTACTTGCCGGGTACTTGGCGGGTACTTACCGGGCACTTGACACGTACTTGGCAGGTACTTGCCAGGTACTTGCCGGGCACCTTTCGGGTACTTGGCAGGCACTTGACGGGTACTTGGCGGAAACTTGGCGGGCACTTGGCGGGCACTTAGCGGGTACTTGCCGGGCACTTGGCGGGTACTTGCCGGGTACTTGGCGAAAACTTGGCGGGCACTTGGCGTGTACCTGCCGGGTACTTACCGGGCACTTGACGGGTACTTGGCGGGCACTTAACGATTACTTGGCAGGTACTTGGCGGGTAATTGCCAGGCACTTCGCGGGCACTAAACGGGTACTTCCGAGCACTGAGCACTTGGCAGGCACTTAGCAGGTACTTGCCGGGTACTTACCGGGCACTTGACGGGTACTTGCCGGGTACTTGCCGGGTACTTGCCGGGCACTTGGCGGGTACTTGGCAGGCACTTGACGGGTACTTGGCGGAAACTTGGCGGGCACTTGGCGGGTACTTGCCGAACACTTGGCAGGTACTTGGCAGGCACTTGGCGGGTACTTGGCAGGCTCTTGACGCGTACTTGGCGGAAACTTGGTGAGTACTTACCAGGCACGTACTGGGCACTTCCGGGCACTGGGCACTTGGCGGGTACTTGGCAAGCAAGTGACAGGCACTTGGTGGGCACTTGGTTGGTACTTACCAGGCACTTGGCGGGCACTTGGCGGGTACTTGCCGGGCACTTGGCGGGTACTTACCGGGCACTTGACGGGTACTTGGCGGGCACTTAACGATTACTTGGCAGGTACTTGGCGGGTAATTGCCAGGCACTTCGCGGGCACTAAACGGGTACTTCCGAGCACTGAGCACTTGGCAGGCACTTAGCAGGTACTTGCCGGGTACTTACCGGGCACTTGACGGGTACTTGCCGGGTACTTGCCGGGTACTTGCCGGGCACTTGGCGGGTACTTGGCAGGCACTTGACGGGTACTTGGCGGAAACTTGGCGGGCACTTGGCGGGTACTTGCCGAACACTTGGCAGGTACTTGGCAGGCACTTGGCGGGTACTTGGCAGGCTCTTGACGCGTACTTGGCGGAAACTTGGTGAGTACTTACCAGGCACGTACTGGGCACTTCCGGGCACTGGGCACTTGGCGGGTACTTGGCAAGCAAGTGACAGGCACTTGGTGGGCACTTGGTTGGTACTTACCAGGCACTTGGCGGGCACTTGGCGGGTACTTGCCGGGCACTTGGCGGGTACTTACCGGGCACTTGACGGGTACTTGGCAGGCACTTGACGATTACTTGGCAGGTACTTGGCGGGTACTTAACGGGCACTTGGCGGGTACTTGCCGGGTACTTGGCGGAAACTTGGCGGGCACTTGGCGTGTACCTGCCGGGTACTTACCGGGCACTTGACGGGTACTTGGCGGGCACTTGACGGGTACTTGGCGAGAACTTGGCGGGCACTTGGCGGGTACTTGCCGGGCACTTGGCGGGCACTTGCCGGGCACTTGCTGGGCACTTCCGAGCACTGTGCACTTGGCGGGTACTTGCCGGGCACTTGACGATTACTTGGCAGGTACTTGGCGGGTACTTGCCGGGCACTTGGCGGGCACTTAGCGGGTACTTGCCGGGCACTTGGCGGGTACTTGCCGGGTACTTGGCGGAAACTTGGCGGGCACTTGGCGGGTACCTGCCGGGTACTTACCGGGCACTTGACGGGTACTTGGCGGGCACTTGACGGGTACTTGGCGAGAACTTGGCGGGCACTTGGCGGGTACTTGCCGGGCACTTGGCGGGCACTTGCCGGGCACTTGCTGGGCACTTCCGAGCACTGTGCACTTGGCGGGTACTTGCCGGGCACTTGACGATTACTTGGCAGGTACTTGGCGGGTACTTGCCGGGCACTTGGCGGGCACTTAGCGGGTACTTGCCGGGCACTTGGCGGGTACTTGCCGGGTACTTGGCGGAAACTTGGCGGGCACTTGGCGGGTACCTGCCGGGTACTTACCGGGCACTTGACGGGTACTTGGCGGGCACTTAACGATTACTTGGCAGGTACTTGGCGGGTAATTGCCAGGCACTTCGCGGGCCCTAAACGGGTACTTCCGAGCACTGAGCACTTGGCGGGCACTTAGCAGGTACTTGCCGGGTACTTGGCGGGTACTTACCGGGCACTTGACGGGTACTTGCCGGGCACTTGACGGGTACTTGGCGGGCACTTGACGATTACTTGGCAGGTACTTGGCGGGTAATTGCCAGGCACTTCGCGGGCCCTAAACGGGTACTTCCGAGCACTGAGCACTTGGCGGGCACTTAGCAGGTACTTGCCGGGTACTTGGCGGGTACTTACCGGGCACTTGACGGGTACTTACCGGATACTTGCCGGGTCCTTGCCGGGCACTTGGCGGGTACTTGGCAGGCACTTGACGGGTACTTGGCGGAAACTTGGCGGGCACTTGGCGGGTACTTGCCGGGCACTTGGCGAGTACTGGGCATGCACTTGACGGGTACTTGGCGGAAACTTGGCGGGCACTTGGCGGGTACCTGCCGGGCACTTGGCGGGCACTTAGCGGGTACTTGCCGGGCGTTTGGCGGGTACTTGCCTGGCACTTAGCGGGTACTTGCCGGGCACTTGGCGGGTACTTGGCAGGCACTTGGCGAGTACTTACCAGGCACTTACTGGGCACTTCCGGGCACTGAGCACTTGGCGGGTACTTGGCAAGCAAGTGACAGGCACTTGGCGGGCACTTGGTGGGTACTTACCAGGCACTTGGCGGGCACTTGGCAGGTACTTGCCGGGCACTTGGCGGGTACTTGCCGGGCACTTGCTGGGCACTTCCGAGCACTGTGCACTTGGCGGGTACTTGCCGGGCACTTGGCGGGTACTTACCGGGCACTTGACGGGTACTTGGCAGGCACTTGACGATTACTTGGCAGGTACTTGGCGGGTAATTACCAGGCACTTCGCGGGCACTAAACGGGTACTTCCGAGCACTGGGCACTTGGCGGGCACTTAGCAGGTACTTGCCGGGTACTTGGCGGGTACTTACCGGGCACTTGACACGTACTTGGCAGGTACTTGCCAGGTACTTGCCGGGCACCTTTCGGGTACTTGGCAGGCACTTGACGGGTACTTGGCGGAAACTTGGCGGGCACTTGGCGGGCACTTAGCGGGTACTTGCCGGGCACTTGGCGGGTACTTGCCGGGTACTTGGCGGAAACTTGGCGGGCACTTGGCGGGTACCTGCCGGGTACTTACCGGGCACTTGACGGGTACTTGGCGGGCACTTAACAATTACTTGGCAGGTACTTGGCGGGTAATTGCCAGGCACTTCGCGGGCCCTAAACGGGTACTTCCGAGCACTGAGCACTTAGCGGGTACTTGACGGGCACTTGGCGGGTATTTGGCGGGCACTTCCGGGCACTGGGCACTTAGCGGGTACTTGCTGGGCACTTCCAGGCACTGGGTACTTGGCGGGTACTTGGCAGGCACTTGGCGGGTACTTGCCGGGAACTTGACGGGTACTTGCCGGTTATTTGGAGGGCACTTGAGTGGTACTTGGCGGGCACTTGGTGGGTACTTGGCGGGCACTTGACGGGTACTTGCCGGGCACTTGGCGGGTACTTGCCAGGCACTTGGCGGGCACTTGTCGGGTACTTGCCTGGCACTTGGCGGGCACTTGGCGGGTACTTGCCGTGCACTTGACAGGCACATGGCGGGTACTTACCGGGCACTTGCTGGGCACTTTCGGGCACTTGTTGGGCACTTCCGGGCACTGTGTACTTGGCGGGTACTTGCCGGGCACTTGGCGGGTACTTACCGAGCACTTACCGGGCACTTGCTGGGCACTTCCGGGCACATGCTGGGCACTTGCTGGGCACTTCCGGGCACTTGGCTGGTTCTTGCCGGGCACTTACTGGGCACATGGCGGGCACTCGCTGGGCTTTTTCGGGCACTGGGGCACTTGCTGGGCACTTCCGGGCACTTGGCTGGTTCTTGCCGGGCACTTACTGGGCACATGGCGGGCACTCGCTGGGCTTTTTCGGGCACTGGGCACTTAGCGGGCACTTCCGGGCACTTGCTGGGCACTTCCGGGCACTTGGCGGGTTCTTGCCGTGCACTTGGCGGGTACTTGCCGGGCACTTGGTGGGTACTTGCCGGGCACTTTGCGGGCACTTGGCGGGTACTTACCGGGCACTTGGCGGGCACTTTGCACTTGGCAATTACATGCCGGGCACTTGGCGGGAACTTGGCGGGTACTTGCTGGGCACTTCCAGGCACTGGGTACTTGGCGGGTACTTGGCGGGTACTTGGCGGGCACTTGGTGGGTACTAATAGGGAACTTGTCGGGTACTTACCAGGCACATGGCGGGCACTTGCCGGTTACTTAGCGGTTTTTTGGCAGGTACTCGGCGGGCACTTCCGGGCACTGGGCACTTGGCGGGCACTTGGTCGGTATTTACTAGGCACTTGGCGGGCACTTTGCACTTGGCGATTACATGCCGGGCACTTGGCGGGCACTTGACGGGTACTTGCCGGGCACTTGACGGGTACTTGGCGGGCACTTGGTGGGTACTTGGCGGGCACTTCCGGGCACTGGGCACTTGGCGGGTACTTGGCGGGTACTTGGCGGGCACTTGGTGGGTACTAATAGGGAACTTGGCGGGTACTTACCAGGCACATGCTGGGAACTTGGAGGGTACTTGGTGGGTACTTGGCAGGAACTTGGCGGGTACTTGCCAGGCACTTGGCGGGTACTTACCGGGCACATGGCATGCAATTGCCGGTTACTTAGCGGGCTTTTGGCAGGCACTTGGTGGGTACTTCCGAGCACTGAGCACTTGGCGGGCACTTAGCAGGTACTTGCCGGGTACTTGGCGGGTACTTACTGGGCACTTGGGTACTTGGCGGGTACTTACGAGCACTGAGCACTTGGCGGGCACTTAGCAGGTACTTGCCGGGTACTTGGCGGGTACTTACTGGGCACTTAACGGGAACTCGGCGGGTACTTGCTGGGCACTTCCGGGCACTTGCTGGGCCCTTCTGGGCACTTGCTGGGCACTTTCGGGCACTGGGCACTTGGCGGGCACTTGCTGGGCACTTTCGGGCACTGGGCACTTGGCGGGTACTTGGCGGGTACTTGGCGGGTACTTGGCGGGCACTTGGCGGGTACTGGGCATCAGTACAGTGTAACTAATGCAAATTATTATGCATCGTAGTATAGTGTGTAGATTAATTATTGTATCACAACTTTTTGAGCATTAATCTGGAATTACAATCAATTCCATGGTCTTAGGTAATTATGGCTGCACGGCTTAACCCTCCACCAAATGCTTCTTTCACTCCTGCGGAGATGATGTGGATGTATGGTGAGTGCAACAGGAATGCTGCTGCAACAGCCCGGCTCTACGCTGAGCGCTTTCTTAACCGCCGGCATCCTCATCAGAATGTCATCTGTGATGCCTGTAACCGCTTGCACGAAGACGGCAATGTTATGCCTGCAGCCGCTTGTGGTGGTAATCATGGTGGACGGATCGTTGGAGCTCCTCAGAGAGTCCGAAACGTACGGAATGAAGAGCGTGTCCTGCGATGTATCGAGCAGGATTAAACTTGCAGTATTAGGAATATTGCCAGGGATTTAGATTTATCGTACTGGGTGGTACAAAGAATCCTGAAAGATAATCATTTACATGCATATCACTACACCCGTGTACAGCAACTAAATAAAGAAGATTATCCTGCAAGGTTATAAAATTTATACTTCCCAACGCAATATATTTATATTTCATAAAGTATTTGTGATATTATGGAAACCAGAAGTTCCTTATCGGTATTTTTAGTATGTGTTTCAAGTTTTAAACGTTGGAGCCCAACGAAAATCTGAAAAAAATTTTTTTGGTTTTGTCGTAAATAACACAATAAACCAGTGACAATAGGTGTATAATACCATAAAAAAAAAAATCAAAATCTTACCAGTTTAAACACAATTATTAACAATCACAGTAACATATGTATAAAACAAACTTTAAGAACTACAACTTTCAGTAATACATGGTGAAAAAAATCTGAAATAAATATTTCTGCAAGTCGATGGTTGTAAAAAATAAATTTGGTACTTTATAGGATTAGAAAACCTAACCTCAAAGCGTAATAAACTCCTAAAATTATTGAAAAGTCGGAAAAAATACGGTCTTATGCTACCTACGTCCAGTAGGGGCTGCAATTAATGTAAAACGTACGGATATCCTTATAAGACACTAAAACTAATTGCCATGATTATTTTCAGAATCAGGAAACCTAACCTCACATAGTAAAATGTCAAGCAATTTAAGAAAATAGCCTATTTTTAGCCATTTACGGTTATAGTCAGCCATTAGGGGCCCGTACAGAGTCTGAATGGTTTTTATTACTGTCTTTGTATCAGATTTGATACTTACAGTCACTTTTAGCTCTCGGAAACATAACCTTGTTTGGTTCTGAGATCTCAATCTTAGAAAAAAATCGAAAAATAGGCGTTTTTATGCTACCTACGTGCATTAAGGGCTGCAATTAATGTAAAACAAATATATATTCTTATAAGGTACTAAAACTAATTTCCGTGATTTTTTTAGAGTTAGGAAACCTAAGCTCACCGTGTAAAATGTCAAGCAATTCGAGAAAAAAGCCTATTTTCTGCCATTTTCGGTTACAGTCTGCCATTAGGGGCCCGTACAGAGTCTGAATAGTTTGTATTACGGTCTTTGTATTACATTTGATACTTACAGTCATTATTAGCTCTCGGAAACATAACCTCGAATTGTGTATGTAACCATAATTATAAAAAAG